AAGTTGTTCATGCTTGCTGTCGAAACTTATGATCGTGAAATAATGAATCCGTGTTGCTAGAATTCAGCAGTGCCTATAGGTGTGGGTCGCGACATCCCGCTCTGGCGCCTGCCAGGGTACCATCCTTCTTGCGAGTATGCCGACCTGCTACACTGCTTGTGGTTGGGGACGGCACGCGACGCCGTCGGCTCCTTGACAATGCTTTTGGCTCGCTATTGGCCGCCGGTGCAGGATCTGGAGACCTTCGATGAGAGACTTCGTCATATTTTGTTCGACGTTCAAGAGTGGTGCCGGCAGCATGACCTGCGACCCAGCACGATCGATGAACTGAGTGCCTGAACTAGACATTTTTTCCTTTCTTAAGAAATATCAAAACGGACCCTAAATAAAAGCTCTAATAATGCAAGCTGCAAAGCCTTATATCCCTGAACCGTCGTACACGGACCCGTCTAAATCGTAATATAACCCTAAACCCTGTAAGCCCTAAGCTACACCCAGGTTTGACGAAACTGTCCGTTGATGCGGTGAGCTTGGATTTCCCTTTGGGGTTTTCCAAGGGTTGGGCCAACCGTGTCATGCAGCTTGGTTCAAATCCTGCTCTTCCGAATTAAGTACATAAGCCCAATATCAATATCGACGTCCGAACAATGGCCCAGGATGGCATATCTTGCCGAGCGCCTCTGTGCAACTCGTGAGATATTATTGACGGGCAATTTCAGGTGTTGGATCTTTATTGTTGTTCCCCCGAATCAAAAGCTAGATTCCTGGAGCTTAGGGTTTAGGGTTGATTTTTTCACGTGTTGTTTCGAAGACTGCGGATATGAGCTGAAGGAGTTGGCTATGAGCGATTCCTCCCCTTAGGACTTGTCTGCTTCCGTGGTCGAAGTCCGAAAGCCGGCCGTGAATGCATGGGCCATCACGACCTTTGCCAATCAGCTGGATAAATATCCTATGTGGTTGTCAGACGACCAAGCGCGAGAAATCTCTCAGAACCTCATCTCAATCGTATATTATGAGCGACCAAACAGAAAGAGTATTTTGCCATGCTTTCCGCCAGAAATCCATATCCGAGGCTGGGGAGATTGTACTGCCACTCCTATCTGGCCCTGGCAGCGCAAGCTCTGCAGTCCGCAGAGCCGTTGCTTCCTGCTTGAAGTTATGAGCATGCAGTACTTCTGCTGAGTGTTCCGAATTTGTAGGGAAGCTGTGTCGACAGAGGTTCTTGTGGACATTTGAGGTTCAAATTGCGGCCGAAGTTCCACGTGTTCCATTGCGAAATCTGCTGCCGACTAGATGTCAGCAGGCTCAATCCCCGTTTCGCGGGATGCAACATGGAGGAGGATTTTATTGGAAAAGTGATGGCCACTACAAAAGGGGCTGTTCATGCAAGCACCCTCTCTGCAAGAACATTGCAGCGATGGATGCTGCAGTACAACTGCTGGGTGTGCACGACAGGTCAGTGAAAAAAACTTGAGAAAGCGAGAGACAGAGCCTGAAGCCTCGCTCCAAGCCAAGGCCCGAAGCCCCCCAACAAGGCCCGAAACTCCCCAAACAAAAGACCCGCAGCCATAGCACCGCAGTGAAACATAAATAGATATTTTTTATGAGGCGCTTCGTATGCTCCCTAGAAGGACCCCATTTCATATGCAAGAAATATTTTGGATTGGATTCTTTCATGAATGCAGCCTAGATGATCCAGCGGCCCTTTTTC